GTTGGACAGGCTGGTCTTGAACTCCTGACCTCAGGTGATCCACCTGCCTCAGCCTCCTGAAGTGCCCGGATTGCAGGGGTGAGCCACTGCACTGGGCACGGAACTACTGTGCTCTGATGGAACCAGATACGTCAGAAAGAGTTGTTCTGCATGCCAGACAAGCCACACGCAGTCCTTACATCAGGCTCCACTCCCCACGAGGCCCTGCCCTTGGAGGGGGGAACCTGGAACAGTCCCATGCAGCGGGGAGGTGCAGCGGCAGAGCAGGGGCTGTGCTGGGTGTGTGTGCCTGCCAACGACATGGGCACCCGAGGCCGGGGTGGCAGGAAAAGCGCTGGAGTCCACCAGGGGCCAGCTCAGCTGGGAATTCAGACTTGGGTTTACTTTAAAAGACATGGGAAGTAACAGCAGCACAAGAGCTTTACGCAGGGGACTGACATGGTCTGATTTGGGTTTTTTCCCCATTTCTTTTAATTGATGTGAGGTTCGTGTGACATAATGAACCACTTAGAAGTGTGCAGTTCAGTAGCATCTGCCACATTCACAGCCTGGTGCAGCCACCAGCTTCTAGTCTCAGGAGGTCTTCATAATCCTGGAACGCCTGTGTCCATAGCTGTCACGGCCGCCCCCACCTTGCCCACGGCCAGCCGTGAGCCTGTGTCCCGGCTCTGGCCCTGACTGCTCTGGACATTTCGTATCCACGGACTCACGCTCTATACGGCTTCTTGTGCCTGGCAGCCTCCACCCGGCGTGTGTTCCTGAGGCCCATCCTTGCCACAGCCTGCCTTAGAGCCCCATGCCTTTTTTTTGAGTTGAAGTTTCATTCTTGTCACCCAGGCTGGAGTGCAATGGCACAGTCTCGGCTCACTGCAACCTCCGCCTCCTGGGTTCAAGCGATTCTCCTGCCTCAGCCTCCCAAGTAGCTGGGATTACAGGCGCCTGCCACCACATCCGGCTGATTTTTTATTTTTATTTTCAGTAGAGACGGGGTTTCACTATGTTGGCCAGACTGGTCTTGAACTCCTGACCTCGTGATCCGTCTGCCTTAGCCTCTCAAAGTGCTGGGTGACAGGCCTGAGCCACCGTGGCCCACCTGCCTTCTATGGCTGAGTAGCATCACACGTGTGTCCATTTATCCACTGAAGGATGCTTGGGTTCTTCCCCTTTTGGCATTTTTCAGTTGGCTGCTGTTAACATCTGTAACTAAGTATTTGTTTGAGCCGACGGATGTTTTCTGAAAAGATCCAGGGTGGCTGCTCTGGGAGGGTGTCCTCGGGCTCACTCCCCCGCAGCCAGGCTTCCCACCAGGGTTTGCAAGGCTGTGCAGTTGCCGGAACCCTCACACTTCAGAGCTTTGAATACCACCGACTGCATCTCGTTTTAATTTGCCTTTCTTTGGTTATTGATGAAGGTAAACATCTTTTCATGTCTCCTATTTGTAATTTTTCTTTTGCGAATCAGCTGTTCAAGTTCTGTGCTCATAGTTCTTGTGAAAGCCTCTCTTTTCTTTCACTGCTGTATAAAATGTCTTTCTGTACTGAGGCGTTGTCATGGCCTGTAATTTGCACGTGTTCTTTCCCCTGCTCATCACCATTCTTTCGTCTTCTCTTTTAAGGCCGCTTCCATCTCACTTCAGCCTCAGCAGGTTGGGGGTCTAGGGAAGGTGGTTTCTCCGCAGGCCTCAGCTGCTTTATGTGGAAAATGTGGATGCAGGAACAGGCAGCCCAGGGTGTTGCCCTCAGTCCCCCACCCCGCCCCGTTGTCCCTCTCTGCCTGCCACCATGTCCCTGTGGCCTCCTCCACAGACGTGGGCTGGGCAGGTATGCAGTGGAGACTGAGAAACCTGCTGCCTGAGAACTACCTGAGAAGGTGGGCAAGGTGGCCAGCTGGCTGCTGTCCTGTCGGGGAGGGGTCCCCCCTTGGGACAGTCCGTGGTCATTTGCTGGACGGTAAGCAGGACGGGGGCTCAGAGGGGCCCAGCCCCTTCCTGTGCTCCTGTGGGCAGGATTCCAGTCCTGGTCTTGACCATCTCTCTCCCTCCAGGCATCACGTGGGGCAAGGTGGTGTCCCTGTATGCGGTGGCGGCAGGGCTGGCCGTGGACTGCGTGAGGCAGGCCCAGCCTGCCATGGTCCACGCCCTTGTTGACTGCCTGGGAGAGTTTGTGCGCAAGACTCTGGCCACCTGGCTGCGGAGGCGCGGTGGATGGGTGAGCATCTGAGCCCGAGGGGGGCGGGAGAGAGTTGGGGCGTGAGGGTGCGGGGCACGGGGAGGGCGGGTGGGTGGGTGAGCCCCTGAGGGGGCGGGAGAGATTTGGGGCGAGTGGGTGGGTGGGCACCTGGACACTGCTGGGGTAGATGGGCGAGGCAGGGGGTGGGGCAAGGGACCCTCAGGACACCTTGAGCAACGCCAAGGATGCAGGTCCAGGCTGCAGGGAAAAGACTTCATTTATTATCAGGAAGCGAAGGGAATAAGAGAATTGGAGTGACATTCATTTACTCACCCAGAAGGAGCTTCAGAGTCCAGGGACTTGGGCTTCTGGAAGCGAAGGCCCCCTGCTCTTGTTCCAGGCAGAGTCTGAATGAAGCTGGGTTTGCCCCTTCCTGGCAGCCCAGGCTCCAAGGCCCAACAGGAGGATGTGGGGGTACTTGTAGCCCCTGGGGGGGCAGTAGGCAGGTGGCTGAGGAGTCCCAGCGAGGGCCATGCAGGCCTCTCCTGCCCTCCGCCCAGCCTGGCTGCCCTCTGTCCTCACCTGGGGTGCCTCCTGGCCCTCACGCTGTCTGAGTGTGCACGGTGTAGGGTCTGGTCGTGCGCTGGAACCTTCAGTCCAGGTCTCAGACCTCCCGTCCTAACAGTCTCCTGCGTTCCCTCAAGCAGCTGGCTGATGTTCTGGTGCACAGTGCCGGGGGTCTGGCAGTGCCGGGGTGCCCAGCGGTGGCAGGTGGGGGGCCCGGCGGTGCTGGTTCTGCTCTCACAGTCCCCCTCTTCCCTCCCAGACTGATGTCCTCAAGTGTGTGGTCAGCACAGACCCCAGCCTCCGCTCCCACTGGCTGCTCACCGCACTCTGCAGCTTCGGCCGCTTCCTGAAGGCTGCCTTCTTCGTGCTCCTGCCAGAGAGATGAGCTGCCCACCTGGGAGCTCATCTGGGCCTGCAGTCCGGCCCTTGGGGCCTGATGCAGGAGGCCCTCAGCACCGAACGCATCTCCCTCCTCCCCACCTGAGCCTGGAGCACTCTAACCCTTGGAGTCCCCCCGCAAGCTCTGTTCCTTTGCAGACCCAAGCCCTCCAGAAGGGGTGAGCAGGGAGGGGCTTTCCTGAGCCTGGGAGCTAGGCTTTGGGGTAGCCTGTCACCCTTCCTACTTCTGCCCCTTTTCCTGGGACCTCTGTGTGTTCCCTTTTCTTTCCGGGTCCAGGAAGTCAGGGTCAACTCCCAGGCCCCCGATGAAGGGGCTGGGAACACCATGCTCTCACCTGATGCCCGGGATCCCAACCCAAGAGGGGTCATCTCAGGACCCGAGTCCTCAGGGCCCCACACATTCAGTCTGAAGGTGACTGTGGCCTGGCCAAAGCTGGAAGAGCCATGGGGACTCTAAGGCTCGAATGCTGGTTGCTTAATCAATTTCTGGAGGAAGAGTATGTCCCCCACCTGTGACGGTCCTTGTGTGGTGGGGACTGGGGCCAGCAGGCTCCAGGCCAGCACACCTGACCACTGGATATGGAACCTATGGCATGAGTCTGATCCCAGTCCAGGTTCGCGTCAGTGAAGGGTGAGGGTGACCCCACCTGCTATTTTTGTGCCCATCCTTATACAGACATTTGAGTATGTGCCCGTTATGCCCCGGACACTAACCCCAGGGTGCACTTGAAGCCCAAGCCACCCAAAGGCAGCCTTCCTTGACACCTGCATTTCTGGGCACACGTGAGGCATCTTTGCTGGAGCCCCGAGCCAGCCCGTCCCGCACCAGAGAAGCACAGTGCTGGGGAGGTGGCGCAGGCTGGACGTGAGGCCGTCCTTCGGGGGAGGCCTGGCCTAGCAGCCTGCCCTCCACGCCAGGCTTCCTGCTGGGGTGGGTGACGTGCCAGCACAAGAGGCCCCTGCAGAAAGCCGGCCCCAGACTCATGGCATTCAGGTCCCACCGGAGGGCACGGGTGGTAATAAACTCCAAACAGTTGTCTCATTTCAGACAGAAAGTCACTCTGCCTGTGGTAAATAGCCTCTACCTACAAAATAGTAAATGTGGAGGGTTTGCTTGAAAATAATGGGGGCTGGGGGAGTGGTGGGGCGGGGGACGGGAGGGCTCTTGGAATTGGTTCTTTATCCTGGTTAGACTTAAAGGCACTAATGCCGATTTCAAGTAGTAAAACATGTCCATGGTGTGATGTGGCACAGAGATGCGGAGTGTCACCACTGGATGCTTCTCATTACTTACAGAAGACAGAGTTCCAGGTGGCTTTACAACACTTAGGTCAAACTAGAGTATAACGGGGCCAGGTACAGTATCTCACACCTGTAATCCCAGCACTTTGGGAGGCAGGATGATGGCTTGAAGCCAGGAGTTTGAGACCAGCCTGGGCAATATAACAAGATCCTATCTCTACAAAAATAAAATTAGTCTAGCACGATGGACTACACCTGTGGGCCCAGCTACTCTGGAGGCTGAGGTGGGAGGATTGCTTGAATCTGAGAAGTTGAGGCTGCAGTGAGCTGTGATTGTGCCACTGTACTCCAGCCTGGGTAACAGTGAGACCCTGTCTCAAAAAAA